CTGATTCACCTGCGTATAAATCACTTTCAAAAGTGCTCATTTAATGCCTGCGGATAAAGAATAAGATTTTGTCCATGGAAAAGACGTACCAATATAACAAGTGGGTTGATTTTTACTATTTATTGTCTGATCACGTGGTTTTTGAGTTCACTGTTTTACTGGCGGCAAACCTCAATGCAAAGATCAAACAACAAGACTCTATGAATAAAAATTGGTTTCCGGATAATGAATGACGAATAAATTGGCCAGAACGAATATGATTGGCCTTGGGTTGACGAAAAAGGTTGGACTGAAGAAAACCTCGCATTTAATGCCCGATTATTTGTCCACACTAAGGCACTTCAATGAGTTCACTGGTGTGATTTAAAAAAGATCACTAAGGCACTTCAATGGGTGTGATTTAAAGATCATTTGGTTTGGTTTGGTTTGGTTTGTTTTACGGCATATCAACCACAATGGGCCATTTAATGCCGACAACATTTTTCTTCCTGGTAATATTTTTGTTTTGTCAAAAATCTATTTCTGGTAATATTTTTTCCTCAAAATTGTATTGCTGGTAATTTTTCTTTTTTTCAAAAACGTATTGCTGGTAATATTTTTTTCTTCAAAAATTTATTTCTGGTAATAATTTTTTACAAAGTATTTCTGGTATTAAAACCGATTTTTACACTTTCATAATGTTTTTTTTACCTCAGTTTCGGGGTTAACTATTTGCCCATAGCCGGAACCCTAACAGGTGCTACCGCCCCGGATCAGGGTGGACCTGGGAACACCAGCAATTAAGAGGTGGTTCCACGCTCCTCAAAGCCTCCTGGTCAGAGGCCTTGCTGTTGGACGTAGTTCATCGTTTTTGATTAGTTTGCAACCATTGACTAGTTTTTGATTAGTCTTGCACTCACATCAATGGTAACGGTCTCCTCAGTATCAGCTAACAAACAAAATTTGTCTCTGCAGCCTTGGTTGGCAACCAGTCTAGAAGAAGGATAACGTTGTATTACAAGCGGTTGAGATAGCAAGGAGAAACCCTTCGCCTATATTTCCAAAGAACACTGATGAAAATGCGCAGCCTACATATTTTTAAATCGAATTCACCCCAAGCCAAACAGTCACTAAGACACAAGGCGTTACTGTGTGTGGAAGAAGTAAAAAAACAAACATTATTAAAGGGTGTGAACAATAGAAGAGCATTCAAGATGATAGTAGATAACGATTGGCATTGCATTTAATTTTTTGAATATCAAAGTTGACTAGAAAGCATGTAGCCAGAAGAAAATCCCATACGCGAGAAGTGTGCGAAGAGAAATTGTTAGCATAGAACTAACGGTTACATCTAGCTAATTCAAGTGTTAACTGATGAAACCTTGTTGCAAGTCTAGTACTAAATACATACTGTCTATGTTTCATAGCTAATTATTTATTTTATTTTTATAATTCATTTATTATTTATATCATATTAAAATATATATTTAAAAAGGAAGAAGACATGGCGCTGAATGAGGAGAAGAGGAAAGAAAAATAGTCATCCAAAGCAGACGCATTCTGGTTGTTTTAATGAACTTATTCTATGAAAATGCCAAGGTAAGGATTGAACTCGCAACCAGTCTGCGTGTACAGTGTGATAGTACATATCGAGCTGAGATTTACTAAAATATGAATTTAAACGCTCGCTTAATATAATGCATAGTCCATTTTAACGCTCGCTAAATATAAGGCATAGTACATTAATGAAAGTTTTAACGTGAAATCTCCGTCTGCCAGATGACCAGGACCGTGGAGCATTAGGTGTGGATACAAATCCTAGTCGATAGTAGATTATTAAACTAATTTACAAAGAGATGCTCAAGTCTAAGATCCCACAAAAAGGTCTGGAGGGGGAGTGCTTTCCTATAATACTTACAAACTGATGACCAATGTTTAATTTTTGATTGAAGGAAAATTAAAATTGTGGATTTTGACAATGAATTTCCCAACAGATTTTTTTATATGTACAATTCTTCAAGTTGTATAAGACTTAGGAAGCATTCAAGCTAGAGGCTTACTGATTGAGTTTGTTGAAAGTGCAAAAATGGAGGATGTAAGAATTGCGTATTATGCGCATGGGCAGACAAATAACCATCGACCATAAGATTTTAAAATTGTAGCGATCGATGACGTAAACTTTCGTTTTTTTTTTTCACTAAGAAGCTCTTCTGAGGAAAAAGCTGTCTGAGAGGGACTTCATCCTAATCAATGAAATACGAAGGAAATAAAGATGTGTCAACACTTTGAGTTCTAACCGTGAAGATCTAGGCCGTTAGATCTAATCGTCTGTGTGGTGGAAATTGAGTCATTACCCACAAAGCTCCGTAAACATTTTCGAAAGCTGTCAAATTATAATTACATCCCAAGCAAGACGGAACATTTAAAATGTTGAACATTATAGTTATTAGGAAAGCAAGTAAGAGTTCCACTATCGGAAAGTGCGAAAGAATGAGCTGTTGGAGTAGAAGAGGCGGTTGTATTTAACTGTTTCGGCAGTGAAAAACATTTCACCCCAAACAGGTCGGGAGTGCTAAGGGCACACGAGGGGTTACAGAGAGTGAGAACAAGAGTAAAGAGGGGTGTTTGAGCAAAGGATATAGAGAAGGGCGGGGATCGGGATGAAGGCCTCAGAAGATGTTGATTGACATTACATTTGAATATTTGAAGAGTATAGCCATCAGGGAAGCAAATAGGGGGAAGGGAGTTCCACTGACGGGAAGTGCTAGAGAAAAAGCTGTTGGAGTAGAAGAGGCGGTTACATTTAATTGTTTCCACGGTTAAAGGTCGGTGGAAAACATAAGACCGAGAAGGCACAGTGAGGCGCTCTCGTGAAGTTGGGCATCAACCATGATATATTCCGCCGAGTGCAGGATGATCTTCTCAAAACGGAAGAAGAGAGGTGAAGCAAAAATGTGGCTCTACAGAAGGATGCTGAGTAAACCATGGATCGAATATGTGAGCAAAGATTATGTTTTAGAGAAAATGGAAGCAAAATGGAAATTTATACTTATCATCAGGAAAAAGCAGTTGAGGTTTCTAAGAGACATATTGAAGAAGAGGTCTTGAAAAATCTGCTACTCACGTGACCCAATGAGGATAAAAGGAACAGGAGAAAAGAAAGCATGATCTACTTAGTTAACTTGAGTAAATGGGTGGTCGAATCAAAGTTGAGGAGAAATAACAAAATTACAAAAGTTTCTTAAGAGCTACAAGGGATAGAATGTTGTGGAGAGCCATGACCGCCTATGTCCTGAGGGGGGGGGGCACGGTGCATAAAGAAAAATTGACCTTACTACTGTCAACTAAATGATATTACAGTTAACCTCAAGAACTCGAAGAAGTGTACAATAAATTTTCTACAAGGGTGCCCATTAAAATGTCGGTAAATCCGGAAAGACGGGAGACAACCGTTGAAAATTTGTGACGACTGATGTGACAAAAAAATTCTGGGGGTATTTCCGCACATTTAGTTAATCTCCTCGTCTCGTGTTCTTTGAAAAGTACGATAACTTGACGCTCAAAAATCAGAGTCCTTTAAAAAGAGAAAAGCCGAACGAAAGACAAAATTTGTCCGCAAATAACGTTTAAATGACGAGGCACAAGATCGAGCAACAATTAATCAATCATAAAAGAACCAATTAAAATGAAGTAATTACAAGAGAGTCGAATGATTATTCAAGGTCATGAATATTCAAGAAATTTATACAAGGTTATTCAAGGTCAATTATTCCTGAGCACTCTATACATATTGTTTCTATTTGGTCATTATCATCTTTAGTTCGTAAATTATTATTTACATACATTTTTATCTTTATATTATAAACACTGTCTTTTCTTTTAATTTATTTTCAACGTTAAATTCTTCTTTTAATATATATCAATACCATTAATAATAAATATTTCCCCTAAACGGACTGACTTAATTGAACCGGCTACTTTTATTTTTTATTTTTTATTTTTTGTGCCTGTTCGATTAATTATCGAAAGAAAGTGCGTCCTGGAGCGTGGGGTTTTGTCTCTCCATTTGCGTGGTTTTTTTTTTTTTTTTCGCGATAATTTTATTGACGATTGTCGCATAAAAATGCGAATTGTTTAGTGCTTGTATGGGTTGTGTGATTTGGCCATGCGTGCCGAGACGCGGGAAAAGTTGTTGCGAGAATATTTAACGCCTTTATTAGTCAAGAAAAAAAAAGTGAAAGACATGCGCTTTTGAAGAAGAAAAAAAAAAGAAAGAAATGAGAAAGATATTGTGAAACAGGTAAAGTAAATATTTAATTAGTAAAAAAGAAACTAAGAAAGAAAAAGAAAGAAAAGGGATGATATGGTAAAAGTATAGGAAGAAAGAAGAGAAATAGAAGAGAAACGCAAAGAAAGAAAGAAAGAAAGAAAGAAAGAAAGAAAGAAAGAAAGAAAGAATGAAGGAAAGAAAGAAAGAAAAAAATAACGAAAAATGAAGGAAAACGGAAAGGAAAAGAAAGGAAGAAAAGAGATATAAGGGAAACAGAAAGAAAGAAAGAATGAAAGAATGAAAGAAAGAAAAAGAAAGGAAAAAAGAACAGAAACATAAGAAAAATACAAAGAAAGAAAGAAACAACGAAACAAACAGAAGAAAAAAAAAGAAAGAAAAAGACAAACAGACAGAAAAAAGAACAGGACAGAAAGGATAACGTACAGAAAAAGAATGAAAGGAAAGAAATATAAAGGAAATTCAAAGAAAGACAAAAAGAAAGAAAAACAAAGAAAAAGAAAGAAAAAAAAGATAGGGTAAAAATAAAGGGAAAAAGAACAGAAATATACGGAAAACACAAAGAAAAAAGAAAGAAACAAGAAAGAAAAATAAGAACTGACAAAAGAACGGAAAAGGAAGCATAACGTACAGTAAAAGAAAGGAGAAAAATATAAGTGAAATACAAACAAAAAATGAATGAAAAAAAAGAAAGGGTTAATAAATTATATGCATATATATTTTTCTTTTGCAGTCAGTGGAAAGAAAGAGGGGGGTGGGGTAACCAGGTGAGAGAAAACTCTGGAATAGACACGAAAAGACAACGATTGAATAAGTTTCATAGAGACATGGCCATTCTCTTGGAGAATCTAATTCGTTCTAAAAGACTCCCTCACCCCAAGATTGTCAGTAAACCACCAATCTATACATTCACAACTAAAACAATAACCACAAAGGCACCAAATTGACGCATATCCCGGCGTTGAAATCGACATTTGTGCACGGTCGACGCCATTTTGTATGGTACGAGCCAAGAGGCGTGCTGGTCCGGCCTGAAAGGGGAGACAACTGGGATTCATCTCCCTCAGTCGCTTCACTGTTCCCTTGTTAATTATAATTATTTGGCTGTAGAATGAACAAGATGTTGTTATTCATGGCGTGTGGGCGATAACGCCCCAGTTGACAAATTAGTTTTGTGTTTGCTTGGGGTGGGACAAAATGGGGAGATTTCGCGACGGAGAGTGGTAGTCCAGTTGGAAAAGAAGTTGAAAGAGAGAGACAAATTATAGGAGTGAGAAGAACGAGGATATAAGGAAATGGTGATAGATGCATAAAGAGTAGAAGAGAAAGAATAGGAAGAAAGATGTGATTTAAAAGAGAGGGAAGGATACTAAAAATTACTGATAAGAAATGAAAGAGAAAATGAAATGTTGAAGAACAAGAAATAGAAAATTAAAAAAAGATGAGGCGCAAATAGAAAAAAAGAAAGAAAGAAAGAAAGAAAGAAAGAAAGAAAGAAAATGATAGAAGGACGAAAGAAAGGAAGAAGGAAAAATAGCGATAGATGTACGAAATGTGGGAAAAAAAGAAAGAAAAACGACAAAGGGACGGGCGGATGGACGAAAGAAAGAAAAAAAGAAAGAAAGAAAACGAGAAAAAGAAAGAAAGAAAAAGGAGAAAAAGAAAGAAAGAAAAAGGAGAAAAAGAAAGAACGAATTAATGAATGAAAAATGAATGAAAAACAAAAAAGAGAAAGTTAAAGAAAGAAGGAAAGAAAGAAAGAAAAAAGAAAGAAAAGAATGAAAGAAAAACGACTGAAAGAAAAGAATGAAACAAAAGCATGACTGAACGAATGAAAAGATAAAAAAAAAAACGAGAAAAAAGCATGAAAAAAAAGAAAGAATGAATGAAAAAGTATAAAAAACATAAACGAGAAAGATAATGCAAGAAAAAAAAGAAATGACTGAAAGAAAGAAAGAAAAAGAAAGAAGAAATAACGGAAAATGAAAAAAAAACGAAAGAAAGAATGATTTAATAAAGAATGGAAAAAATGAAAACAAAAAAGAGAAAAGAAAGAAAATCACAGAAAATGAAAGGGAAAAAGTAAGAAAGAATAACTTAATGAATGACTGAAAACCAAAAGAAAGAAAGAAAGAAAGAAAGAAAGAAAAAAGAAAGAAAAAGAATGAAAAAAGGAAAAAAAAGATGAAAAGGGAAAAGAAAGAAAAAGAATGAAAAAAAAAAAAAAAGAAAGAAAAGAAAGAAAGAAAGAAAATGAATGAAAAGGAAAACTGACTTAATGAATGAATGACTGAAAAACCAAAGAAAGAAAGAAAGAGAGAAAGAAAAAAAGAAAAACGACAGAAACATGAAAAGGGAAAAAGAAAGAAAGAATTATTTAATAAATTAATGAATGAAAAAAGAATGAAAAACAAAAAAGAGAAAGAAAGAAAGAAAGAAAGAAAGAAAGAAAGAAAGAAAGAAAGAAAAATCACAGAAAGATGAAAAGGGAAAAAGTAAGAAAGAATGGCTTAATGAATGAATGAAAAAAGAATGAAAAAGAGAAAAAATAAATGATTGCCAATGGAGAAAGTAACAGAGTGTTACCAATAGGAACTACTTAAATATACTGGTCCTCCCCCAAAAAATAATGAAATTCTGTGGAGTGGGGATTAGTATACATTAGAATTTCCTCTAGGCGCAATATTTGTCTGAATCCAACCGTTTTGATTGATTGATTGATTTTTTTTTTTTATTCCTGGTGGTGATCCTCTTCCTAATATCAATAGAGTCGATTTACATTCATTTTACATCTTCTGATAATTCTTCTGCTAACTCACGACTGAAATTTTACTTGACTTATATAAATTCTTTCTATACAGTCACGGTGAATTAGAACAAAAGTTTTATCGATATAAACATTGTTCACCGATTTCCAAAATTAGATTTAAAAATATATAACACAGAAGAAATATTAAAAATGTGCCTTAACGAATATTATGCAAATTAAAAGGTACCATTTATGTTGAAAAAACAATTTCTTAGTAATATATTTATAAAAATAACTATTAGGTTGGTGCAAAAATAATGACGTTATAATGTCGTTTTTTTTACGTACTTTTTAACGTCAAAAAACGACATTCTTACGTCATTATTTTTGCACCAACCTGATAATAGAAGAATTTTTAAATGCTGGGGGTTATTTAGCCATGGATCGAAGTCGTTGAATTTAACACAAGGTCGAGATTAAGGTGAAATTTTGGAAAGGCTGCGTTTTGTTATACTGCTACACAGTAATAAAAGGTTTACCGCACGTTAATTTATAAATGATAATGGCTTAAAATTTATTTTAGTACGAGATTAAAAGCCGCCCTATCAGGTAGCAAATAAGTTAGCTGCTGCGGACGGCTTTTGATTGGATAGTCAAGACAAACCCTACCCTGGTTCGTGCAAAAAAACTCATAAGGGAGATACAACAAAAAAAAGAAGTTAATTTTTTAAACTTTAAAAATATCAGATATTTATAAAATGAGAGTGAACATTTCGGAAATTATTCGGTAATAAATAAAACTGTTTTTTTTTCTCTTTAAATTTACAGAAATATTTTCAGGAGAACCATATTTATTATCCACCAGTATGGCTAATGCTACCCGACTTCCCCAGGAGAGCAAATCATTGCATCTTTTTGGTCTTACATTTTCCACTGACATGTATTCATTACAATCTTAAACAGTTCTAGTCTAGGGATAACGTATACGCTCCACCTTCTACTTTGCAATACTCTAGTTCGAATGACCCTCGAGCCTTGGACTGGGCGATCAGCATTGTAAAAATATACTATGCAAGCTGCTAGGAAAGTTGGTACAATTTTTCCTCGTCAGACAATTTTTCCTCGTCAGAATCCATCTCGAAGTTCTCGACAAAATCCAAAGACGGATATGCAATGTGATAGGTCCTGACCTGGCATCTCGACTCCAGTTACTTTCTCACAGACGTGATGTAGCTTCCCTTTCTACAAATATTTCCATAGCAACTGTTCTGTCGTGATATTTTCACTGATTTACCAACTGCATAATCGTGCATTTAAGCATGCTACGAGTTTGGCATCTCGGTCCCAACCTTTCACTGTCGAAACAGTTAAATGTAACCGATTTGATTTCAAGACCGCGTGCTATACGTAAGTACAAAAACAAACCGACATTTTAATGCCCTAAACGGTATTTTGAACAAACATATTTATTTTCCAACATAATCTTCATCCTTGTCAATGCACTTAATTCTACAGTGAATATTTTAGATGATATTTCATCTCCATGCTTGGTTTGTGCATTGATTGGCGCAGCGTGTGTTTCACATATTATAATTAGAGATACTGTCCAGTTTATATCTTCTAAGAAGATATTCATTTTAATTAGTTACAACATTAATTAGTTTTTGTTAATTAGGTACGAACAGAATCTGTCAATAATTCATAACCTGTAGTCATAGTGTCTACCAAAGCTACAGTAACTAACGCTGTAAAAGTTTGAAAGTCAGACATATTTTTTAATCCTGCCTACAATCACATAGACAGCCCGGTAACTGTTGCTACGTTTCCTTATCATATGTTTTGACCCATTATGACGTTGGCGATCGTGGCTCTCCACAACTTACTGTGCTTTGTAGATCCTAGCAACGTTTGACACTTTACCATCACTGTTCCGGCTCTGAATTCCATTCTTACAAATTCATTAGATAAGTTGCTCGCTGCTTACGTCTACCCTCTCCTTTCCTCCGTATGGTCTATGAGGATTCAATTTTCTAAGTCGTCTTTCTTCAAAATAGGTCCCAGAAATTTACAATCTCTTTTCTATTTTAAATAGGAGTGTTTTTCTAGAGTCCATTTTCTTGATAACTTCCTCGTTGCGCAGATGTTCTCTTCATGATAAACTCAGCATCCGTCTGTGGAACCACATCTCTCTCATTTTGAATCTCTTTTTTTCAACTGGAGGGTGCATCATCATCAACATCTTCTTCTTCTTCTTCTTCTTCTTCTTCTTCTTCTTCATCATCATCATCATCATCATCATCTGTCCAATGAGCGGATGTAGGGTCACTAGAGCGCTGTTCTGTATCTGAACACATATCAGGATTGAAAGCCCGAGAGCTATACATTTATGCCGAGTGTGTTCTTGGGCAAGTTGACCTGACAGATCCCAGGTCAAACTACAACCGATATCCTCCAACTTAAAAGCTCTTCTCGGTCACAGAGACGTAATCGTTGATTCAATAGCGGACGCCCTGCGCCCTGCGACCTGGCCGTTGATTTCAGTCTATGGAGCTCTCCACACAGCGATACAGTCCCATCCCCGCACGTACTGCATACGTAATTATGTGACTAGTGCGCCCTATTTTGCTAGATGTCTTTTGACCCTAATTGAATGTTTATCAATTCTTGACAGGTCTTCTTTTAATCCTGATTGGTGTCTAGTTACCCTCCTCATCAGAAAAGCCTGATGAGGGACCTGGTTTAGTCGCTGATGAAGTAACCATACGGTACTTAGTGCTAGGTTAAACAGGTTGAGGTAAAAGTCATGCAGCATAGTGGTTAATAGAGAGATCGAAATGAGTTGAGTGGCCACCGAGGCGACCTAACCTCATACCCTTGCATTTTTTTCTGTGGGGCCATTTGAAATCATTTATCAAACGTGCTCAAGAAATATTGAGGAACATAAAGAAAGAAATGCAGTAAAATGGCTGAGGAAACTCTCCGACGTATTAACGAATCAGACAGACACAGAATTGAAATGTGTTTTGAAAAAAAAAAGGAGGACATTTTGAACAACACATATAACAATTAAATAACTAATAAATAAAATGTTCAGGTGTAATTTTGCCTCAGTCTGTATATAGAGATACTCGGCAAAATTCAAAGAAGGGTCGGTAATATTATCGGTCTTGACCTGGCATCGCGACTTCAATCACCTTCCCCAAAGCCGTAACGTGTCTTCCCTTTCTCTCTGCTATAAATATTTTCGTAGTAATTATTCTAATTCTAATTCTCCTCCTTGGTACGTCGACCGCATGGTTTTAAGCGCATTACTAGATTGTCAATTAGGTCTCATTGCTTTACCGTTGAAATAGATACATGCAACCGTAAGTTCTATTCTAAGAGTTCCTTTCCACGTAATTCACATCAGAATGCTTCTTACACATTGATGAATTTACCATTGTCTGTACATTGAATATTGATACCATATCTTGTCCGGTGGTATTGCTATAAACAGAGTGAGGCAAAAGTTAGGTATCAATAGGGGTTAATGTATTGGTCGAAGAGATGCTGATGAGTGGCCACCGAGATCATGAAACCTCACAATCTTGGATTTATTTCAGTGGTGCCATTTGAAATCAGTTGTTTATCAGACGCGCTCAAGAAATATTGAAGGCCTTAAAGAAAGAATTAAATACGAATGCAGTAAAATGATAGAAGAAATTCTCCGACATAATAACGAATCAGGCAGGCACAGAATTGAAACATGTTTTCAAAAAGGAGGGCATTTTGAACAGCACAATTTAACAATTAAATAAGTAGTAAATAAAATTTTCCTGCCTAATTATACTTCTGATAAATTATTCCTATGGTGCGCGACTTTTGTCTCCACCTGTATATCGTCCGACTAACACTCGTAGAATATCTTGCCATAAATTGTCCATTTATTCAAAATCATTCAGGAGGCTAGTTATAACGCTAGTTCGGTACACTTCGTAAAATTATTTCTAACTAAATATACCACTGTCTTAATATTTGACTTAGTTTCTCAAGCCAAATCTTTCCTTCTTTTTTTCTTTTTTTCTTTCTTTCTTTCTCTCTCGTCCCCTTTCTCTCTCTCACACTATTTCCCTCTCCTTATGTTTATGTTACTTTTTTTCTTCCTTTGCTTACTCTTTACTCTTCAATGATTTCAGTTACTGTTTGCAAGTATGTCTTTTCTTCTTCTTCTTCTTCTTCTTCTTCTTCTTCTTCTTCTTCTTCTTCTTCTTCTCCATTCTCTTTCTCTTCCTCCTCACCCTTTCTTCTTCTTCTTCATTCTCTTTTCCCTCCTCTTCCTCATCCTTCTTCTTCTTCTCCTTCTTCTTCTTCTTCTTCTTCTTCTTCTTCTTCTTCTTCTCCATTCTCTTTCTCCTACTCCTCATTCTTCTTCTTCTTCTTCTTCTTCTTCTTCTTCTTCTTCTTCTCCATTCTCTTTCTCCTCCTCCTCCTCCTCCTCCTCCTTCTTCTTCTTCTTCTTCTCATCCTTCTTCTTCTTCTTCTGTTAATACTTTTTTCTTCTTTATTTTTCTGATATTTGATTATTTCTTATCTTTTTTCGTCTCTTCATTCGTCTATTTCCCCCTTTCCTTCTAACCTATTTATTACAAACTTTTAATTAATACTTATTGATATAATTAACTTTTATAATTTTAATAAATGTTGGAAAAAATCGTAGCGCGGAGAAAAGTTATTAAAAAAAATAAATAAACGTTCCGTATCAAGTAAACATCCGCCCGGAAGTGAAATTAAAGGCATTAGTCCAATCAAATCTTCATTTACATTTCGTACACAAAATTCGGAGGCTGACGGATATATCACTTTGAAACACTGAAGATGTCCGAAGTTATGCAAGCCTGGTCAGTACCTATATGTGTGACCACTTGGGAATAGCAGGTGCTGTAAGCGTGGATGTGCAGGTGGTGTAAAGAATAACAGATCGGAATTGGAAATCGGAGAGCCGAGTTCCATTTCCACTCGCGTTCGTTATATTCACTTGCGCGCAAATACTCTCGGTAAGGTATGAACCTACCTCTTTCCCCCCTCAGCTACGGGTTAATTAGTGGAATTTGTACCAGTAAATTATATAACTATAAATTAAGTAACTTATGAAAATGCAAACGTATTTTCCGGTTTTAAATAAACTGCAAAAGACTGATAAACGAAGAAAAAAATCGGATGAAATATTATTTGATTCCAACAATTTGAAATGTTATCAAATATTTATTGATTCCAACAATTTGAAATGTTATCAAATATTAATTGATTCCAACAATTTCACATATTATAAACTGTTATTTGATTACACCATTTTGAAATGTTATCAAATATTATTTGATTCCGACAATTTCAAATATTGTCAAATATTATTTGATTCCACCAATTTCACATATTACCAAATATTATTTGATTCCACCAATTTTACATATTATCAAATATTATTTGATCCCAACAGTTTCAAATATTATCAAATATTATTTGTTTCCAACAAATTCTAATATTATTAAATATTATTTTATTCCAATAATTTCTAACGTTATCTAATATTACGTGATTCCAACAATTTCATCGCATCTAAGATGGCGTCTCTATTCCCTCATCGCGTTTTTTCGTTTATTTATTTTTTATTTTTTCTTTATTCATTATGTCACAAAGTATTGGCAGGACGTTTAACGACCCTCTAGTCCCAAAACATTTTTTCACTGTTTAATGCATCAGTCAATTGATTATCAATTGGTCGATGCTGTTCATTCCTTCAACTCATAAAATCAACCGACATTTATATGGATTGAAACGAAAAAGTGTAAAAGGAAAATGTTACAAACTGTCGTAAATTTTACATAGTGATTTTTCATTAAATATACAGCCAGTTAATTCCGAATATGGTTTATATATCTATAAATATTTTATTATTTTCCCGTTATTCCTCGTCATATACATTAATTTCCTTTATCTGTTTATTATTTTTTCTTCATTTTTTTATCCTGCAATTTTAGGCAGTTAATCCAAAAAGCGTAAAAGCAAAAAAAAAAAAATTCCTCTTCCCAAGAAATGACCGCTGAAAAAAGACAAAAAAAAAGCATTGAATTCATAATAACCGAAAATTTAAATCAAACATCACATTGTCTCCTTTAAGACAAACAATGCGGCCTTCTCTACGTCAATTGTCTATTTGTTAACAGAGTCTAGCCAGCTTTATAGAAAAATGCCGAAGTTAGGGCTTTTTTTTATCATTACACCCTTGCAATGCAGTAAATCCACTAAGACACAAAGAGTTTATAACTGTGAAAGAATAAGAAAAAAAAGAGAAACATTTTTAAGAAACGAGTACAATAGTAGAGTGTTGTGACCTAGGGAAGGTTACTTAATAGAATAATCAAACGAAGGTTGGTAATGAACGATAATACTTAGGACAAGAACAACGCATATAAGATTCGCCAGCGGCGCGTAGAATTATTCAACTGCTAGAAGTACGTAAAGTGAATTCCACAATGAACCTCCAACTCTAGGATATCTATCAACCGCTCCATGTGGTCAGATGTGGCACAAGACCCAATTTAATGTCGGGTATCCGAGCCAGTACGCTCGGCCAAAAGTTCCCCGTTGACCCCATATAAAACGGTGCTGGGTAGCTGCTTCGACATAGCCTCGTCTCGGGGATCCTTTCTGCCCGGAGACAGAGAGTTTGACCAGCACAG